CCTCCAGGAAGTTTTCTCAACTCAAAATGTCTTCTTTCTTTATGCTGATTTCTCTTGGGAAGGTTCGCTGCTCTTATACGTTTTCTCAGTTTTTATAGTTAATAGATCTCCCTGTTGTTAGTTGGTGTCCCGTTCTTAAAGGTATTTAGGTCGAGAATGGTGCTCAGGTTGTCAAACCTTCAGAAAGTGGGTTTGCAGAGCTCTTATTTTAAACGAATCCATATTTTTAAATGCTTAATTAGAAGGCTATTAGACTTATTTGGTTTCCTTTAAGAGCTTGAACCTCTCATCCAAAATTCTTCTCTCCTTTTGAACATGGTTGGAAGTAACAGGCTCAGTCATTTTAATTAGAATAATGACTTTTAAAGGGCCATTAAAGTCACTAATGTGGTAATTAGGAAGCATCAGTGTTGCTTCCAACAATGTCAATTAGCTAATAAAATCAAACTTAATTATTTAAGAGTGCCGGAAAAAAAAATAATGTACCGGTACCATTCATCAGACTGTGGGGTGGGAAGATAATAGAGAGAAATAAAGGGAAGTTAAGGGGAAGAATTACTATGGTACTTATTGTCTTTAACAAAGTATTGTTCTATACTGTATGATCTGTCTAGGCAGTATTTAAGTTAGGAAAGGTAATTATCTTAATTTTGATACATGGTGGACATTAAAATTAGGCTCATTTTACAGAAGGGCCATCCTCAGATAGTTGATTCACTTGAGTGGAGGCTCATAGGAAAAACTAAGATAGTGTCCTGTGCTTGCACTGAATGACAACTGTGCTGCAGTTTCAAGACAAATCTAGCTAAATGTGAGCAGTCTTTGTAGGGTCTTTGTCTTCAGTTTTATATTAAGAACAATCCTTTGACTGCAATAATGCTTGACAGATTAAAGGCCAATCTATGCTTCTGACACATAGCCTCTGCAACCCTCAAATCCATCTCTGTGACGGTTCTGCAACCTAAAAAAAATCCTGACTACGCGTCGGACGGTCGCAAACCCGCGCAGACCTCAGGCGGAAGTATGCAGACAAAACGCAGCTGTGATTTGTCATTGGTATGCCTTTCCTGCTGTCTGCGTGGTCGTCCTTCTCGATTCGGTGCCAGGGCGCACCATTTTTAAAATCTACAATGCACAACCACCGCGTCCTCTTTTGTCTTTTTGCCAACTCCATTAACAGAACCTGTTCCTCTTCAATGCCTAGCAACTCTAGATTAATCTCCATGACGGTGATATCTTGCAGATGCTCCATTGTTGTTTTGGAAGATAAACACTCACGCCGGCGCCGCCAGCGTTCTCGTGACCATTCACCAAAGTTCTTGCGAGTTCTCGAATAGGCTACCCCTTGCACTTTGGCGGGAAACTGCTGTGCGTCCCTAGAAATTCCAGACTGACGGTGCAGAAGCATACCAACAAAACTGGTTCGCGACCAGAACCAAACGACATTTGATGTGTGCGGTTGCAGAAGTATAATCTGCCCTTTATCAGTTCTGAGTACAAAACACCTTTAGGAAGATTGTGACAGTCTCTCTGTGAATGTCTGTGGCAAAGCATCATTACAGCATGTTGGTTTATGCAACCACCACCATGCTTTAAGATCGGATGGCATGTTTGGGGGTAAGTTTCATGGCACAAGACCAAGCACTGAAGATATAAAAAAAACAAAAGAAAATGCAAAGCAAGGTTTATTTTTCACCTGAAAACCAATAACAGAAATGTCAAAAGATAATCAGGTTATTAATACAAATGTCTGAGTTTTACATGAGCTTTGTTCCTTCTTTGGTCTTTCTTGCACTTTAACTCTCTTCTTTTCCTCTGTTTTGACCCTTTTAGGCTGTTTTGCTGTATATGCAGTGACAGCGAGTGGAGGTATCACAACCTTCCCTTCGTTGGCCGCCAGGCTTCTGTATACAAGAAGTGCCCTGCACCTATTTGGAGAAAACTGTCATCGTTGGAAAACTCTTAGTGGTTAATTGGAAACGTGCAATCAATGCGGTATTTATTTTAGCAAAATTATCTCCTCTGCCACATAATATACCATGTAAAATGCATTTTTTCTTAGAGGGGTTAAAATAAAACCAGGCACAGCGCCTTTAAGCAAGGCTTTATACCTGTTGGATGTTAAGGGTATAGTGGAGGGTGTTCTTTTTCCGGGTGGATCATCAAAATAATTGGTCCGCCTACTTGTCAATCATGCTGGTGATATGTTTACGTAAGGCCTTCCTATGTGCTCGCCCTCATTTTCAGTTAAAGGTGGTGAGTTTGACATAGTGGAAAAATTGCAAATCTTCAAAAAGTTTTCGGTGAAACTTTCTCCAGCAGAGAGAGAAACATTCGTCAGAGACACTGTTTGCCACAATCTTTCTACGTGTTTTTTGTACTCAGAACTGTTAAATTTTGTCAAGCATTATTGGAGTCAAAGGATTGTTCTTAATTTGACACTGAAGATCTAGCCAAGACCCTACAAAAAATGGAAAATCTTAATAAGCGTTCCCTTTTGGGAGCGGGTACAAGGTTGTGCATGTGCATTTTTTTTTTATTGGAGAGGGCGGGGCTTTTCAAAAATTTGCCAAAATCCTCCATTATACCTTTAGGCTGGTGTAGAGTAACTTTCTATTGCACAGCTGCATCTTTAACTATTCTATAAGTGTTATTATAGTCAATAATTGGCTAATGAAGTGGTACTGCTGTAGGAAGATGCTGCTTTAATTAGAACAATTTGAGGAAACATCTTTATAATCCTAGAATTGGAAAGAAAAAAAAACATTGGGTAAGGGGTAACGGACAGCGAGGCTCAAAATTACTCCTGTAAGGGACTTTGGGAGTCTAAGCTGAACACAACACTCTCTGAGTAGATGTGGTCTGAATTAAGCACAATAAAACACTGTGCTGTGTGGCACAGCTGATACTAACTGCAGTCTAGGTGATCATGTGTCTTTGTGACACCACATGTACAAGGTTTGGTCTCCGTTAATTTATTTACAAAATGTTGTGTTCTTTAGAAATATGTAATCGACATTAGTTTTTTCACAGTCTGCTTAATCCACACTGGTCTCACTGGTTTCATACTTCAGTGGTATGATTTATCGTGGCTTTATTTTTCAAGACTTTATTGTATTTGTTAAAAAGGTTCAAAGAGGGCTTAGAAAATTAAATCTTAAGAGGCACTAATAGATTTTATGTCTGTGTGTTTTCCTCTCGTTTTATGCAGCATATAAACTCTCAGTTTCTCCCAGTTTATACAGTGAATAATAATCCACAATTAGTCTTTATTTAACCTCTATTTTTCTTGATTGGTTTTATAAGCGTTTTTACATTTTTTTTTATTGCAAAATGAATTCTGCTATTTTCAAAATTCAAAAGCTCTACGTTGCCTTTTCTTGATTTTCCTCAGACAGGTGCAGGTTCCCAGACGTCTGTGTTATGGTGTAGAGACCTGTCGTGTAACTGTGAAATAATGCTTCCCATGTGGCAATAAAAAATTAGCACATACTACACATTGAAGTTATGAGTACAACCAGGCCATGTGGCAGTGCATACACAGAATATAGTGCACTGGTAGCATAATGTGAAATCAGATCTACTTGTGATTATCTATCTTAGCAGTTGCGAATGTGATGGGAGAATACAGTTTTTTGTCTAATTTTGTATCTTTCGTCTTGGTTGTGTTTTCAGTCATAGCTACCAGTTTTTGTTTCAATTTCTGTCATGATATTCTTTATTTGTATGTTCCTAGAGACATGCCTATACAAGATTTAATTAAACTACCTTCAAAAAAGAAGCAAAAAGAACACAAGTGTGCTCTGAGAAAAGTTTTTTTTATATTTCTGTCTGTGTAATACAAATTTCTGGTATCATTCCTATTTTTTCCTAGAAGTTCAGCTTTGGAGTAATTGGCTTTTGTTTATTTGTATATGTGGATTTATTTTGAATGCCACTGACATCTGATGTTGATTACATGTAAATAAATGTAAATAAAAATGTAGCATATCAGCTGTAAGTAATTTGGAAGAAAAAAAACCCCAAAGGAAAACATGAGCATCATCAGCATGTCTGAAATGTTTTTGAAATCTGAGCCATAAACTGTGAATCTTTTACTTGAATATCTTTTCAAAAATATTAATAATGTTTGTATTTGTTTGCTTTGTATTCAATCTTTGTATGATTGTTTTTTTCCCCCCAAGAACTCTTCTCCACTCTGTAATCTCAACGAGTCAGGAGACTCCTTTAGGGGGATAACATATAGGGAAACTCTCATGTGATCCAATAACACACAGTATTGAGGTCTGACAATGCATGTTAGTATTGCAAAAATAGAGTGAAGGTTCATTATTATGGTTTTGCAAACAGAGAAAGAATTAAAGAAAAGTTTCAACTTCATGTTTTCTACTTCTTTTTGAGATATTTCTCAGAATTTTCAGCAGGCATAGTGGTGCATAAATACTAGGTTGTTGTGATTAAAAAGAAGGAAAAAAAACCTTTTCAGTTAATGCTATGGCATGGAGAATGCACAATTTTCTATAGGGTGGATAGGTTCCAAAGATGGTGATGGTCTACACTGAACTAGGAAATATACTATCTAATGAAAGTGGAGTTAATTATATTAATTTAGATAGATGTGTAAGCAACGTTGTGCTTAACAAATGTCGGACCATATCAGGAAACTAGGGATTTTTTTTTTTCAAAAAGCTAAAATTTGAGAATTAATATAGGTAGATAATAAATAATAATGATGGTAATAAATATATAAATAACAATAAAGGAGAAACATATTTAACGCACTTTAAACATTTTAAATGCGAAGCAACTTTACAGCTCATTTTGCTTTCTTATAAATTTAATTATTCTAGATATGATTGTCATTGTTTTTTTTATATTTTTATTATTCTGTAAATGAGCTCTCTTGACAGCTTCTAACCGGAAAATGAAAAATCCTCAGTATTACTGGGGGGCTGGCAGAGGGTGGAGGTTGTCTTTGGGGTGTCTGAGCGGGTCCCATGAATCGGGGATGGCGCTGTGTTCAGTGTTAGTGAGTTTGGAGCCAAAGTTTCGCAGCGCAGGCAAGAAAGTTTTGCTGGATACGAGCAGAGATCTTAACTTCTGTCATGTGGACCTCCAGGACAAACATGTGGACCACAGACCCAAGATAACAAGGAGTTGCGTGGCTGTTTTGAAGGATATTTTCCTTGTTGTTGAGATGGAAAGAACGCTTAACGGGACTGCTGGCTTCGCTGCGCACCGCTTGTTCCAATGGACTGCTGTGGCTCTTATCACTTTGTAAGTTGGACAGAAACTCATTGCACGCCCGCAGACACGTTTGCAACACGAGTATGACTTAACTTGTTAACGCTTTGCTATGTAGCCTAGCCTCGGGTGTTTAAAAAACAATGAACTCTCCCAGTAACCAGGAGCTGGCACTCTTATCTCGAAAACACCGGCTCATGGCTGCAGCGATGCCCGCTGAGGACGGCGCGTTGCCCCGCAGCGCCTCCAGGGCTGATCGGAACGGATTCGGGGGTCTTGTTCACTGTTTTATCTGCGGGAGCGGCGTCACGCCCGGGAAAGAACTACGGCTGCAAGTGACATATCAGAAAGAGAGGTTGCCCTTTTTCCCGTTTCTCCAAAATCAGGAGCCAGCTCCGGGTGCGTGCGAGCTGAGCGCGGATGGCTGCGCGCTGGTGTGCGCGGTGTGCCACTGCTTCCTGGCTGAGCAGTGGAACTCCTTCGAGCGGAGCAGGACGCCCATCGAGAAGCGCATGTACTGGCTGAAAAGACCCTACCAGTGCGACTCCAGGCGGGTCCCTCAGGAGTGGAACATCTCCTACGACCTGGAAAGGAGAATCAGCCATAACTACGACGGGGGCGCAGAGTCTGATTTCTCATCTTTTTCTGAAAACGAGAACATTTCAGATCAAGAGATGGATCTGGTTGACAGGGTGGGCAGGGAAAAATGTCTGAGAGCGCCTGCTAAAGCCCTGAAAGACAGTAGCAGGAAAAACAATGTGATCAGTATCAAAAACAGCCCGGATTCACAGCATTCAGTGCGCTGTGCGGCGGGTGTTTATGACGCGCATGAATCATCTAAAGCTGATGGTGTGCAGGCGGCACGGCGCGGGGCTAAAATGATGAATAATGTCTGTCAGTCAGCAGAGTCCCAGGAGAGGCTCCCTCCGCGGTGTTATGGCAATCCTCTAACTGACACACCTGTGCAGGACAACGGCGTGATTATGCGCAACAGGCGCTCGCTGAAGGAGGAGAATGTGAAACATGTGGAGCAGCGTCAGACCCAGCGTGTCACCGACAGCAGCTGCGCTCCATTCAGACATCCAGCTCTGCTGCTACGAGGGAGAGCCGAAAACAACTCCCACCCTGCGCTGTCTCCTGTCCTCTCTAAATGCACCTTAGGGAGGGAGAACAGCTCCGAAAACTCAGAGGGAGACGAGATAAACATCACAAGTGATGATGAGCGGGACATCTGTGGTCCAAAGGCTGGACCAGCAGCTCTGCAAAGAGCTGTCACTGATCTGTCTTCCAAGAGGAGCTCCCATCATGCTGCAAACTCTTGCCCAGAGGAGCCAGTGTGTTATATATGTGGTGCCGGGCTCAGACAAGGTGCCAGTTTCAAAATTAGTGTTCAAAAACAGGAGTCAGCCCGAGGAGAGCCGTTCTTTCCCTTCCTTTGGCTTCACTCAGCTCCCCTGGGTGCAGTGCCCATCAGCACCTCAGGTACAACTATTGTTTGTGGCAGCTGCCACACCTCCCTCATGCAGCAGTGGGAAAGCTTTCAGCTGGCTGATGTGCCTGTTCTCCAACGCCTATACGTAGTCCCCCTGAATCAAAAGTCCAGCACCCTTCATCCATCCCAACATAAAGCACTAGACAGAAAAACTCCAGGTTCCCTTGAGGTCACACCTGAACCTAGGTCGTCTCATGAAGCCTGCTTCCTTTGTGGCCAGGAGGGTAGAGGAGATTTGAGAGTAGTATATGCACAAACTGGTGTAGGAAAATCCCGAGCCGTGATGTACTTTCCCTTTATCAACTTATTGCCTTGCCCACCTAATGCTCAAGTAATGAGGAACGGTTGTGTCCACTGCTGCGCACAATGTCACTCTATTCTGCTGGATATCTGGAACGCATATCGACTAAGCCTCAGCGAAGACCTCATCACATCTGTTAGCTCATTTCTTGTTCGGTACCATTCCTCCTTGTCTTCTGATGGGCCCGGACCAGCCCCCTCTCAGGTTGAGGGGGGCTCTCACCATGGCAGCTCCTTGTCAGCGTGTTACCTGTGTGGAGCGGAACTGAGTGCAGGTGCAGAATACCAGCTGCATGTCAACCCACCCAGCCGTTTTGGGGAGAGGGAGCCTTTCTTCCCTTTTCTAACAGTTTACCCACCTGCACCAGGTGCTAAACCAGTGGATGCCACAGGCCTTGTGTCGGCCTGTAAACTTTGCTTCCATGACCTGCACTCTCAGTGGGCACAACATGAGAGCAAGGCCTTGGAGTCCTCCAGCCCAGCTGCTTCTTTGTTACCTGGCACTAACCCTCAGTCAACGAGCTCCCAGTGGGCCCGTCAGTACAGCTGTGAGGCCTTTGTGTGCTTCTTCTGCAGGCAGGAGCAGCGCAGGCAAGGCAGGCTGTGCGCCGTCAATGTGGCCAGGCTACCTGTGTTTTTGTATGCACCTCGCAGCCCTCGCACACTTCTGGTGGATGATGGAAGGAGGCTGGTGATAGGCTCGTGCGTAGATTGCAAAGCAGTGGTGCAAGTGGGACAGAGTATGCAACAGGATGTAGCCATGCCAGCACGTGGAGCCTCAGCTGGAGAAAGAACGGATAATGAATTAGGTTCCCCAAAGCCTAGAAACAAGGTAAGAAAAAAGGAAATTTGTTCTCTGGGTTGTTTTCTCCATTATCTGCAATAATTATGGATAAAAGCATCAGGGTAATCTTAAAACTAACCACTGGTCTGTCGAACATTTTATTATGCTTCAGACGAGAGAATAAATCTGATATATGCTTCTATGGCTGACTGAAAATAAAAGAAAAGGAATGGGAAATACTTTTAATCAGAGTTCACTTCTATAAACAAAAGTGGAAAACTCTGGTGACCCTGAGGCCAACACCAGTGCAGTGTTTGTGTGCATGTGTTTATTTGAACAAGCATGACTGAGTAGGTGTCACCTGGTGCTGAAGAGTTTGTTTGAGTTTCAGTACACTGAGATGCATTTTCAAAGAATTCGGGTTTAACCTAGCTTTTATTATATTTATTTTAACTGCATCATTGACAGACTTCTCCCCAAGGAGAAGGGATGAGAGAATAGCCCTGGATTTGCACCGTGTCCGCATTGTGTGTATCAAAGGAAGTTGTGGTGCAATTTGGCAGCAATTCATGTTTGACAAAAGGCCGTTACACTTCAGGAGTTGTGCAGGAAATGTAGCATTTTTCCTTGCTTTTTTTAACAACAGAAATGACAAACTACAATATTTTTGGTTGGGCTATAAACAACCTTTTTATAAGTGGTCCAGATGGGCCGGCTCACTACATCTACTCATTTCCTCTGAGGTTAGATCATTTATTCACTTGCTTTTTTTTTTCTTTCCACATTTGTAACATATCCCTTAAAGATATACAAATAAAAGGTCATAACAAATTCCTTATATCTGCAGATGATGATGTACTAAGCTGTGGGTCTTTGTAGAGCACACCTTCTGGGCAATCACGAATGGCTAATGTGCAAATGAAGGGTTGAGCGGTGTTTAGACAGCCAGCTGTTCCTAGGAACAGATCTCTCATGCAAACAAACACTGACTGTCCGGCCACACTAAACACATGAAGAACATCTGTGGATGCCATTCACACTGAGCAGCCCCCTCCTTCACAGTCTCTGCTGTTTGGAGCCATTCACTTAATTCTCCCTCTGCTCTTGAAGTACTTCTTGGACTAGATGTTACTTTTATTATCTCCCATATTTAGCCTTTATTGTCAATTATCCCTTGCCTCTTTATCTTTTTGTGAAGATCATGCAACTGGTTATTGATTCTGCAACAGATCATAATAGTAGCTGGTGTTGGGTGGAGGAGTTTAAGGTTGTCACTTTGGACATTTTTGGCCTGTGTAAGTAAGTGACCTCATAACTAAAAAAGGGAACCAATGGTGTTAGCAAGAGGTGCTATAAAATAGCTGCAGGGCAACAGGTGCTTCTTACTTTGGTGCCATGCTTTAAGCTGGAGAAGGTCTGTCATCGCTTGGGTTTGAGCTGTCAGTAGGGAGTTCCCATCTGTTTCCTTTTAGTGTCAAATCCAGTCTTCATTTTAATTCTGTTGAGTTAATGTTGAAAGCAGATCAGCGCAATATCAAACTGCAACAGATATACATTTTAAACGTAGTTTTATAACAAGAATGAATTTATTTCTAAGTTTGGAAACGATGAGTGTATTGGATAAAACAAATCAAGCTGTGATTAAGGCTTACCCTTAGTGTTATCGAGCATCACACAAGAACAATTCCTTCTTAAGCCGGGTATACACTGTGCGATTTTTTTTAAATCATTGCACGCAGCTACAGCTCACACTACAACGAAACTGCAGGGTTTCATCGTCCAGTGTGAGTTCACAGCTCAAGATGTATGTTCTCACACTGTGCAGCACGCCGCTCTGATGCTATCTACCTGCTCACACTGTACGTCTAAAAACCATGTCGGACTGAGCTCCGCAGTGAGGTGGCGCTACTCGGACTTGTCTATCCGGAAGCCAAACCAGTAGAATAGGAATATGAAGCTCACTAGAGGGAAACGTGCTGCCTTGACAATTTGTGCAATTTTGTGCTGAAAGCCCTATGAAGAAAAAGCGGTGACGTATTTGGACAAAGACATGGCTGAGCAAACGTAGCTACTATGGTTTATCAATTTTGCAGAAAGAACTTCATTTCACCCGCACCCCCGCCATGCTTCTGTGTTTTCATCTAAGAGGAAGAAGAAGAATCCTTGTTTGCGCATGCCCACTGAGCAATTTGCCCACGACAGTGGACTGAAAATAAAATATGTTTGATTTTCTCCCGACCTCACAATTCCTGATTGGGAGGTGGTCGTGAGACGCTGATCGCCCCTCTTTACCCCCTATATGCACAAGCAGGCTGAAAGTCAGGCCGATCAAAAATTCTCCTAGGACTTTAAAGTCACCCCTGAAAGGGCAAAAAAAATTGCACAATGTATGCCCGGCTTTAAAATTTTCTCTCAGGTATGAAGCGCTCCAGACTTGACGCAGGAGTCTTGCGCAATCAGTTAGACATTATCCAAACCTAGTTTTTTCACTAAGATACTACATTCGTTTTCTCCTTAGACACAATTGTCTATTTTATTAGTGTTGGTCACATCCAGGGGCCACTGGTTTAATTTATTTTTGTTATTTCGCCAAAAGAAAGAACAGTCAGAGATCAAGCTACTCTTGAAATAACATCTGAACGGAAAATTGATATTCAGCAATACTCGGCAAACTTATTAAAATTAATATATATACTTATTTGATGTAAAAATATCATTGTTTATACGTGGATGACACAAAGAGGAACAGGAATGATTTGAAGGATTTTCTGGGGGGGAAATTGTATTCTTGGGGAAAATGTATAAGCTTAGGGGAAATATTCAGAAAATCTGCATTTGTGTTGAAAGTATTTGGCAAGAACAATCAGATTTATGATCCTAAAATTACATTTTGAAAGATTTACTGACATTTAAACATTTCAGTATTATCTGACTTAGTTATGTGTTCAACTTTCATCCAATAGTTAAACCCAGCGGTATGTTCAGCACAACAAGCCCAGAATCAGGCTGTCTGTGTGTTTGTCTACCTGCCTGTTTTTTCAGTTAAACACTGAAAACAGCAACAACTGGATACTTACCGTATATGTTTGTATTAATATGTAGCATAGACTGAAATATAAATCTAAACATAACAATTGTAAAATAAATTTAGATTTAAATATATGTTAAGGTAATCATTACTTAAAACATTATAATGGACCTGTCCACTTCAGTTTTAAAGTAAAATTATGTTAAAGCAAAACTGCTTTAACAGGCAACAACTGTTCCTCCAAACTCCTAGAGCTTGATAAAAGAGGAATTACTTAAAACAAACTGTTTGCCTTCTTTCTGTTTCTTCATTCACTTAATTGCAATTTTCTACTTGTACCCTGTTGATCTCACAAATCTCACCTCACAGTATTTATATATAAATATACAATATAAGAAGATTTATTAACTGTTTGCATTCATCTGTACTGCCACAAACGTTTTGTTCTTTCAGGTTTAATTTTTAGATTTTATCAATTTTCTCTGGTATAGTTGTTCTTGATTGTTGTGATTCTGCATAGACTATTACTTTTCAGAAGATTGATAATATGTATTACTCATTTTGTATCGGTCATATTTCAGTCTGGTTGCAAGCTTGTTGGTGTTTATAGTTTTAGTAGTTTTTCTTTTCCAGTTTGGCTTTTATTCAATCGTTGTAAGTTTTATTTATAACTTAGTGGTTGCCAAAGGGCTTAGTTCCTTTTTATCTCTTCATAACAATGTTTCCATTCTAGTTCTTTCTCTTTTCATGCAGACGATGGCTTATGTGATAAAGGTTTCCAATCTCTAAGACCCTGTTTATTACCAGTGCCAGAGACTCCTGATATATTCTTTCTGTGGCTGTTTAGTGACCCTCTGTTTTTTTCTTTCCTTTAGCAGATGTTGCTTTGCTTAAAATTTTCATTTTGACCTTTCCCTTTTTACAAAAGGCAGATCTTACCTGCAAAACAATTATCTGTAGGAAATAAAAAAATTGGTTTATTGGACACTAAATTGCTTTTTCTGAGGCAGGGCAGATTAATATATAGATTTTCAGAAAATATATAGAGTAACAACAAGATTTTCAAAAAAGATGACTATATCATTTATATTGAGATTGTCTAGGTTGTGTTATAATTATCCTTCAGTCCTGCTGATTCCTCGCTTTGTTTCAAAGGGGTTGTTTTGTTATTTAATGAAAGAAAAAAAAATGCTTGGTTACCCATGTGTGTCCTCCGTATCACCTTGTGATGGACTGGTCTGGTAACTTATGTGAAGTTTGCATCTCTTCAAATAACAGTGGTGTGTTTATCCTATTGAAAATCACTGGTGCAGATTTCTATACCTGGCAAGAGAATCACACTTAGTGGAGGCGTCAAAATGGTACATGAGAGAGACAGTATAGAGGTAATTTACCTTCATAAAAACATACATTATTATTTACTTGCACTTTTATGAATTTCTTCAGATAAATGTAAAACTGCTGCAGGATTGCTTGTTACTTTCACCGTTGATTACTTGGCTCTGACAGTACTTTTCATCTTAGGATCGATAGTAAACAGAAGGTTCATAAAGATTACCTGTGATATAAAAAGCATAAGGCGGGGAGTTTTTACGAAACTAACTAATAAATTCAGTGCCCACAAATACCACTTGAGGAGTTATCGATAGAGTTTTTATGCCTAAAGGTTTTTATCTTAAATAAAAAATATAGATATTTTTTGGTGCAGTTTTGGTTAATCCCTGCTCTGAGAAGGTTGTTCTTTCAACAAATGTTAGTCTGTTTACTTCAGTCAATGTGTGTCATTACAAAAATACATCCTACATTCTTAAAATCATACTGCCGGTTGTGTTCACTTAGAAATTCAGCATCAGCAGGTGTTGATTTATTCCTTTTATTTTTTTGAAAATAGCCTGCAACAGATTTGCATGTTAAAAGATATATACAGTATGAAATATATTTTCGTTAAAAATTAAGATATTATTCTTAAATCTTCATATAGTAAGGTGACCTAAGAATAGACTATACAGGATTTTAATTC